GAAATTTTTTATGAATTTTCTTGTAATAATAATTTCACAAATTTTTTTTACAAATTTATTTGGAAAAAATAATTTACAGATATTTTTTACAATTTTTTTATGAAAAATAATTTACAAGAAATTTTTGCAAATTTTGCTATAATTTTAATGATCATAGAAATTTTTTCCACGGTAAAAATTTGTAGAAAATATTGTAAGAATTTTATTTTATTTTTTGCAAAAAAAATTCACAAGTAATGTTTACTATATGATAGAAAAATTTCGCAGGTAACTTTTCCTGCAGATTTTCCTGCCAATTTTAATTTGCAGAAAAAATCAAAAAAATATTTAAATTTATAAGTTTAATATTTTAAAAAAACTTCAAGTCCCACATCAATTGAAAATAAAACAATTAAAGAGTATATAAGTTGGGGCAACACTTACCTTACAAGTTGATTTGTATGGTTAAGTGTTAGACTTATAATCTACAATCTTAGAGTTTAAAAGATTATGTATCACATGTTGGAGACATGGAAATAAATATTTTGGATGAAAAAATTGTGAGCATTTAAAAGTGGAAGAATTATTAATAGAATTTGTAGTAAGTTCTTTGATTTTTTTCGTAAAAAATATTCCTGCAGAATTTTTTACGAATTTTAAAATTTGCAAAAACATATTATCTACGAAAGTATTACCTGCAAATAAAATTTGAAAAAAATTCGTAGAAATAATGTTTGTTGCGAATTTTAATACAAAATTCGCATGAAAAATCGTATATAATAAGAAAAATTTCTAGTAGTGCATTGTTTTAACGAATAGTTTATTGGGAATGCTAAGATTATACTATTTTAGATAATGTTCAGATTATACATATGTTAGAGGGTTTACTTCTGTTACGCTAGCTAGTTGAAATTTTAAAAAATAAATCATTAAATTAAAAATTTGGTAAAATAAGATATTCAACCAGTCGATAAATACAAAATAACACAGAAAACATTAAATTACTTGACCACATAATGAATAAATAATGAATAAACTATTATTAAAATAATTATAAAAAAATGCAACGAGCATTCCCAAACTATGACGTTAGGAGACGAGTTTGATCCCCATGAGATACTAGGACCCTCCTACCGCAAAAATTAATATTAATCAGTATTCTTGCGATTACTAATAAATAAATCTACTATTTTAGATAAATACCAAATCAAAAATATAGTATTTAACTTGGAGACCATCATTATTAAAAAATGTCATTTTCTTGCGAATTTTACTATAAAAAATATTCATAAAAGTTTTTTGCAAATTTTCTTGCAATAATAATTTCACACATTTTTTTTAAACATTTATTTGAGAAAAATAATTTAAAGATATTTCTTAAAAATCTTTTTATAAAAAATAATTTACAAGAAATTTTTGCAAATTTTGTTACAATTTTAATGATCATAGAAATTTTTTTCCATGGTAAAAATTTCTAGAAAATATTATAAGAATTTTATTTTATTTCTTGCAAAAATAAATTCGCAAGTAATGTTTACTAAATGAAAGAAAAATTTCGCAGGTAACTTTTCCTGTGGATTTTCCTGCCAATTTTAATCCGCAGGAAAAATCAAAAAAATATTTAAATTTATAAGTTTAATATTTTAAGAAAACATCAAGTCCCACATCGATTGAAAATAAAATAATTAAAGAGTATATAAGTTGAGGCAACACTTGCCTTACAAGTTGATTTATATGGTTGAGTGTTAGACTTATAATCTACAATCTTAGAGTTTAAAAGATTATGTATTACATGTTGGAGACATGGAAACAAATTTTTCGGATGAATTCATTGTGAGCATTTAAAAGTTAAAGATTTATTAATAGAATTTGTAGTAAGTTCTTTGATTTTTTTCATAAAAAATATTCCTGTAGATGTATATATATATATATATATATGTATATTCTAGACACTATATGTATATACTTGTTCTTTCTGTGTGGTGTTCTGGTGTGTTGTGCTGTGTGTAGTGACCAGTCGGGTCGTTACATGTTCAAGTGATATTGAATAAAAAAATATTAATTAGGTTTTACATATTGAAATTATATTTGATGAAGTCACGAATACATAATTTAATAGTTCAATGAAATAGATATCGACACAAAATCAATCAAACAAAAAATGATGAAAATAACAAATTTTGAATCAATAAAAAATATTCACTCACACAAAGACATAAGAATGAGAGAGACAAAGATTTACATGGAACTTATAAGGGAGTACACAATATGACTACTTTCTTTATCAAAATTTGAAAAATAAACAATGGAGTGTGTGAAAAAATGAATATTTTTGGAATAGATGAATTCAACTATATATTTCTTATTTTAAAAAGGATATTAATTATGATATCTTTATATACACAATTTTTTTTCTTTACTTTGAAAAAATTGGATTCCCAACTTTTCATGGGAATGATTTTGTAAGAAAATGAGAGACAAATAGTTCACAAAAACTATATCTCCTGAATTTTTTTGTAAAACTACTGAGAAACTAAGATTTTCAATTAAAAATTAACAAAAAAATAAAAAAAAAATTCACATACCATTGATCACCTCCAAGAACAAAACACACATATATCAAATAAGATAAACTATACAAATTTAAATTTAACTAACTTAAAATATATCAACAATATGAAATTACCCATAAGCATTTATACGAATATAAGAAAAATAATTATAAAATCAACTTATTAATAAGTTTTAAGCAAGGTTTTGAAAAAGTTAGTATGACAAATCTTCTACAAATTAACATAAGTATATTTTAATTTTAATTTATAAAAAATTATTTTATTTTTTTATAAGTGGTTATGAAAAAAAATTATTTAAACATTTCCAAACTATACATAGTTTTATGTAAAAAATATTTATACATGATTTCAACTTAATAGGCTAAAGTTTTAACTGATATTAAGCCAATTCATAAAATGAAGTTAACAAATTAATTATTAAATTAAATCTATTAACTTTTTATTGTTATTTTACAGAATTAATTACTTATACAAAAACTTATTAAAACATATATGAGTTGAATCTTGTTACCAACGTAAATAATTTTTATTT